ATATTCAAAAATTTAAAAGATGATATTATCCAAGGTAATTCTTAAGTATCGCTGATAAAAGCACTAATGCTCTCATTTGCATCGTCAATTGTCTAGTAATTTACTGAGATCGACTTAATAATAGACAAAAAAAAATGTTAATCACCGTAATAGCTTCTCTTGAGAGGAATAAATCTGATCCGCGACACAGATACGACCTCTATAAATCCTTAGAAATTACGGTAAATGTTTTCTACGACGTCTTTGAACTTTCTTTTATCGTCGAACTAAGAAAGAAATTCACCGACACGGAACGCAAAAATAATTGCGCGTATTTAGTTCAATACTGTCAAATAAATCATTTATTTGGAACAAATAAATATTTTTCATATCAAATGAATATTATTAGGTTTTTATAAACGATTTATTTGACAGTATTGAAATAAATACTTATAAGAATTAATTAAATTCTTTTTTCACACATATTTATTATTATTTATTATTAGCCTGCCTGTCCATAACTTATATTACTTGAATCTTGAATATGCATTTAAATGCATAAATATTGATGGCCCATTGAAAGATTATTAATTGCACATTATATCGCGTTTTATGCCGTTCAATTCGGTTTCATTGCGAATTCAACGAATGACACAGAATTTCCATTTAGAATATGGAATCACAGTTCGGATAATGTCCGGGCCACTTCGTCGAGAGATCGCAAAATTCCCAGGCAGCCGAAAGTATTTCAATAGCACAAAGGGTCGGACTTTTCTGTATCGATACCATTTCACTGGTAGCAGAGAGCTTTTCTCTCGAGTTCTCGAATCTCACTTGGATTTCGAAGTAACTCGATTGTCTCGCGTTATTTTGGTAAAATAACATCGCCATTAGAGTAACAAAATTAAAAAAAAAAGGTATCTAATTAGTAACTTGTGTTGTAATTTTTTTATGTACCAGATAACTAGAATCTCTCAATTTCTCAATTTTATATTAACTTTTAATACTTTAGAACTTGTCAAAAATTCATTTTTCCTAATATTAGTATTATTTTTCCTAATATTAATTTTATTTTTCATATTTGTTTTATTTTTCCTAATATTAATTTTATTTTTCCTAATATTAGTATTATTTTTCCTCAGATTAGTTTCAGTTTTCTTAATATTAGTTTTTAAAATTAGTTAATTGAAAAAAGAGAAGTCACTGCAGTAATTCCCTTCCAGAAAATAAAAAAAAATTTTTAGTGCTGTGCATTGAAGCATTTAAATAATTATAAAGATTTTTTTACATATATAATATATACTCAGTTTAATTTTATTTATTCAAAAGTGTTATTATATTGTATTCAAATCAGATATTTCACAATGAAGATTTAGTTTGCGATTGCAAGATAGTCGCGATTGCAGAAAATTGAAATTGGATAAAATTTAAAACTTCTTCAATTTGCCTTTTTTCAATTTCTCTCAAATGTGTGATATATAATTTATTCTGTAAATATAAATTTAATTTTAATAACGCTTTTAGAGTATTACAATAATATAATTTAAAAATAAAATTTTCTCTGAAAATTTTTATTAAAAAAATTTTTTTTCATTTCATATTTTTTAAATAGATAGAATAAATAATTTGTTTATTTTATAATGTATAAATAAGTTTGAGAATTTAATTCGAATTATAAACTAAACGAATAGTATTTTCTAATTTAAATATTCTTATAGCAACACAATGCTGTATATCTTATATTTCAAACATTATTTTGATTATATTTTGAATATTATGTGTAATCTGCATCAATGAATTATTTTAGGAAGCTCAATAAAAGGTATATATAATTATAGAGAGAGACACAAAACATTTTAATAGTCACATCAAATTCATCGATAGCATAAATATTAAGTACATCAAGTCAAATTTAAAACACTTATTTCCATTCGCTCTTTAAATAAATAACTGTATATAAATGTATCGTATAAATTCGACAGATGTAAAAAGAGACAAATTAATCAAATTTTAGACATAGGCAAAACTTAATTAAAAATAATACGTGAACTTGATTGTTTGGAAAATAATGAACAAAATTAATTTGTTGTCAGTTGCTAAAATTAATCTAACTTTTTATCATTTATCATAAAATAATATAATCAGCAAGTGTACATAATTTTAATTCCCGAAATTTATTATGAACATAATTTTAATTCTCGAATTTTTATTATGAACATAATTTGAATTCGCCGACTTTCTATTATGCATATAATTTTAATTTTTAATTTTTTATTATATACATAATTTTAATTTTTAAAGAATTTCTATTATGCACATAATTTTAATTTTTTATTTTTCATTATATACATAATTTTAATTCTTGAATTTCTATTATGCAGATAATTTTAATTTTTGAATAATTTCTATTATGCACATAATTTTAATTTTTTATTTTTTATTATATACATAATTTTAATTCTTGAATAATTTCTATTATGCACATAATTTTAATTTTTCATTTTTTATTATATATATAATTTTAGATTTTGAATTTCTATTATGCAGATAATTTTAATTCTTGAATTTCTATTATGCACATAATTTTAATTTGCTGTCCAAATTTCTATTATGTAAATAATTGAAATTGTACATAATAGAAATTCGGTCAATTAATATATTATGTACATAATAGAATTTTGGTAAATTAAAATTATAAATATATAATAGAAAAACAAAAATTAAAATTATGATAACCTGAAAATCATGATAATCGTGGGACAATATATTAATATTTATCACATATTAATATCTACAAATAAAAAATATTAATATCTACAACAATAAAATATAAAATATGTTCGATTAATTTTACTATGTACATATTAATATTTTTATTGTGATAAATATTAATCAGAGAAACTCTTATAAAATTCTTCCAATACCATATTGTCTCATGATTACTATAATTTTTAGGGTAAGACAATTTTAAGAGAAAATTCTCTCTGTTTATATATTACAAATACAAGATTAGCCCACTGAAAAAATTATTAAATTAATAAATATTTATTTCAATATTGCCTAATAAATTATTTATTTCAAACAAATTTATCTGTCTTGAAAAGGGTTTCTAATATCAAATATTTTTCACATCAAATCAATATTACTAAAAGTTTTAAATAAATGATTCATAAATATTTATTCAAACTCGATAATTTTTTTTAGTGTAAAAAAGTAATTAATGTAATACAGAATGACACTTCAACAGTAAATAATATTTAATTTTTTATTCAAGAAATTTAATATATTAAAAAAAAATTACTTTCAATACATAGGTACGATTTAATCAATATTGTATATGATATTAATAACTGATTAATTATAATATTATATTTTATTTTTTAATTTTTTTATTTTATATTATTTAAAAATTTTTTTATTTAATATTTATTTCATAATATTATATTTTTCGTATTTAATAATTTTTTTCGGTGCAGGAGACAAAAATATTCTCCCACGAGTCTGATATTCCTGACCGCTCATCGTGCAATTCTTATTTGACACTCGTGCTCAAGTATTGAAAGATATATCCATGGGTCCCGTAGGAGGCATATAAAAGAAACGGGGACATTTATATTTCTTTTGTCTTAGGGATTGTGTTAGCTCGGATGAAGGCGATACGAAGACGTGAGAGTTTTGTTTTATTCTCGGCGACTCGTCGCGCTAGGATAAAACGGAATCCCGCGTATAAAGAGGGAATTTTCTCACTCGTTATGTCGAACTTTTCGTACATTCCTTTGTTTTCATGCCGAAAGTATCCTCAGCCTTCTCTCTCTTTCCTTCTTGTTTCTTGTTTTCTCTTTCTCAAACAAATGCGTGCAAATATTTCATATTGCATACAAAGTAAGTCTTGAAATGATATTTTTTTCTTTTTATAAAAGAGATTGGTGATTTATTAAAGAAATATTAAAAAATAAGAAAAGTTGAACATTTCAAGAACGTAAAAGATAAAAGAAGTTTTAATTTTCTAGATAATTTGAAACAAACTTGACATATTTTAAAGAGAAAGTTAATTACTAAGAGAGAAAAAGAGAAGGAGAGATTAACTTTAGATATTCGTATAAAATTATACATTTTATATATATATATATATATATATATATATAAATATATATTATACATGCATATTGTATAAAGAGAGAAATAGAATACAGAGATTTCAGTGAAGAGTTTCATTTGAGATTCTCGCAATTCGGAGAATAAAATTAAAGCTTTTTTTTAAATAAAATATAATATGCCAGTAATAACGTTCGTCAAAGGATATAAATAGAGAGAAGTAATGATATAAGAGATATGCATGTTTCACGTTACAAATTAAAATCTCCACCCAATATTCATATCAAAATTTTAAATCAAGAGAAAGAGCTTTTAATATCTCACTGAAAAATTATCATAATCAGGGATGTGCAATATTTGAAATAAATTTAAAATGCAAAGTTATTTTACTATAAATTTATTTTAAAACGTATTTTGTATTTTGAATATATGTTTTCAAACAATTATTTTATATTAACATTTAAATGGTTTTTTATTGTCCATTTTATATTTCAATCGCATTTTTCTTGAAAACTAACAATTAATTGAAATATCATAATAATATGTATGTATAACAATGAAAATATTATTTATAATAATCGACATTTTTTTATAATTCTACCTGTAAATACATTTATATAACTTTTTGTTTATATTAAAAATATATGAAGTTTATAAAAGTTTAAAAAGTTTCTAAAAATGTAATATAAAAATAAGAATTTAAATATATATATAACTGATATTCGAAAAAATCATTTTCTTCAAAACAACCATTTTTAAAATGCCTGTTTTTTTATTTCCCATTTTAAATGGGTGTCTAAGAAGCATTATATTTACAAGTGGAAAGCTTCCGACTACTTTGCACCTTTTATTTCAAACGGATCTGGACATCCACGTTCTACATCCCTGATCAGAAATGAGAATAAGGTACAGAAAGCTTCACTTACCTGAGATCGCGAAAGTTTGTGTCTGGCACGATTGGGGTGTACAATCTCGACTTGGGGTGTCGCGCCCGGTGCGAGAAATCGAATTCGATTGCACTCGACGCTGAGAGGGTGGTGTTGCAGCTGATGGGGTTGCTGATGGTGGTGCAGATGATGGGGTTGCTGCTGCGAGGAATCGCTCTCCAGATGATGCTCCCCCGTGTCCAACATGCTGCTGCTGAGGGCATCCAGCTGGGTAAGCGATCTCGAACGCACCTGGAACAATCAAGTCATTTGCTTCATTAGTAAAAAGGACTTGGAACAAAAAAGTCTAATAAAAAATTATAAAAATAGAGAAATTAATAATAAATTACAATAATAAATTAATTAAATGTTTTATAATAAAATATGTTATTTTATATGATGTCAAATAAAAAATAATAAAAGTAAAGAAATTAATAAAAATTACAATAATAATTAATTAATAATTATTATCAATTAATAATATATTATATAAGAATTTGCTAAAATCTTAAATTTCAACAATATGGTCTTATTTCAATATTATATATATATTATGTCATCTGAAAAATATAATAAATATGTTATTTTATATGAAATCAAAAAAAATAATAAAAATATAGAAATTATTAATAATAAATAAATAAATAATAATTAATTAATAATATATCAATTAATATAAAATATATATATATTATTAATTAATAATAAATTACAAGAATTTGCTAAATCTTAAATTTCAACAATATTATGGTCTTATTTCACTATTATACATATTGTCATCTGAAGAATATAATAAAATATGTTATTTTGTATGAAGAGAAATGATTTTTCATGCAACATTTTCTTTTCCATTCGAGAAAAATTATTCTTGAATAAGAAGATAAATATTTTCCTTGGTTGAACTGTATAAAATGTTTTCGTTCAAGCAGATTTTTGCGTGTATACGAGTATATAAGTTTTATTCGACACACTTTTTTCTGTGTAAGTATATTAAGAATTAATTTTTTCTCTCCTCTTTCTAACTAGGTAAATAAAAAAATGTATGCTATGATTTTATATCTGATTTTAAAGAACCAATATTATTTAAAGCCCTTTTCTGCGAGAACCGCGAGTATTTTTCTTTCGACTTGTCTAGTCAGCGAAATCTCACTGTTGCTGATACAAGCGAGATTTATATTTAAATTTCGCCGGAAAAAAGGAAGAGGAAGAAACAAACATTTTTCTCTCTCCAAAATTATAACCCTTGACGTCATCATCAATTCTCATAAAATTCTCTCTTTATTCTTTCATCGAGCGCGCAGAAATACAAGCGATTTTCCACAAATCGATGTTACACATTTCTCTCTCTCTCTCTCTCTCTCTCTCTCTCTCTCTATCTTTTCAATTACACTCGTTCAGGGATCAAATTGAACGTGTTTCGGGATTACGGGCGTAAATAATGCGATCAACGAGGACGCGCAAACGGCTTACGATAAAATAAATTTGTGGCCGAAATTGGAATCAAATATGTCGATTAGGACTCGTGATTTTAACCGATTAATCGATTATTTTACAATAAAATCGATTAATCGATTGTAACCGAAAAAAACGATTAATACTCGACTAAACGATTAATCAATTTTGATTAATCGATTAACCAATTTTGATTAATCGATTTAAAGATTAATCAATTTTAATCAATACATTTGATTCTAACTATTAATTGATTAATTCGATTACTGATTAAAATCGATTAATCGATTATAGTAAATTCAATTAATCGATCAATCAAATTGATCCTTAATATCGATACGTACGAGATGCGCATAAACTGTCTGACAATGAGAAAAGTCCTCTCTCTTGTAAGAGAAAGCGTGACACGTCGCTGGTCCGGTATTAACAAACTCGTGGAGCGAAAATATACGAGGCCGACTTCCTGGGAGATAAATCCTAGGTAAAACCTTGACAAAGCGGGTCACCGGACAATCGATTTATGCGCGGAATCGATCCCTCCCAGCATGTCGACGAGGCCGTTCGTTATCGCGATTTACTCGTTATGCTCTCTCCACTTTTTCTCTTCGTTTGTTACGATAATTTGCGCAATAAAGAAATTCTTCTCTCTCCCTCTCGGATAACAATAAAGTATACGTAAGGTACACAGAGGGAATTTTCTCTTAGAATTTACCCCGAAAATCAGGGTAATCCTGAGACAATATATGTATATGTGGTATTGGAAGAATTTTATAAGTTTCTCCGATTAAGAATATTTATTATAATAAAAAAATATTAATATGCGCACATAGTAAAATTAATTGAACATATTTTATATTTATTGCGCTAGATATTAATATTTTTTTCTCTTACAAAAATTCTTTTATCTATCATATTGTCGCCCGGATTATATCATGATTTTCAAGGTAAATTCAAAAAGAAAATTCTGTGTGTAATTGGATGACTACAAGGAAGTTTTCATCATTTAGCATGCAACGGTTTAACTTTGGTATGACGCTATGAAGGTCAAAAGCGCATATTAATTTTGTAACGAGAAACTAAGTCTCGTTGCCTAATTTAATATTAGGGAAGCAATTGCAAAAGCGGTTAAAATTAATTGAAAATGTTAATTATGATTAAATTATATGTATAATATGTATAGATTCTATAATGTAAATTTTAATAGTATGTACGATAATTCTTTTTAATTTTTAGATAATCGATCTTCAAGACAATCAAAGTTCAAAATATACAATATTGATTAAATCATACCTATATATTGATGAAAATAATATTTTTTAAATATATCAAACTTCTTGAATAAAAAATTAAATACTATTTGCTGTTAAGTCGTCATTCTGTGTTACATTGATTACTTTTTTATGCTGAAAAAAATGATCGAATTCGAATAAATATTTATAAATCATTTATTTGAAACTATGAGTAATATTGATTTGATGTAAAAAAATATTTACGATATTAAAAAAATATTTATGATATAAGAAAATCTTTTTCAAACCCGATAAATATTTATTTGTTTTGAATAAATAATTTAACAGAGTATTGAAATAAATATTGATTAATTTAATAATTTCTTTCGTGTAAAGTTTCATTCTTCAATGAATAATATAAATATGAACCACTCATTTTAAATAGTTTCAAGTAAATTTTTCTCTCCATATACATATAAGAGAGCGTATTCGCTCGCTCCACTTCGTAAAAGAATAATGCGAAGTGCTTTCAGTCATACAAATGGTTCTTCAGAGAACTCTTACAACTTTTACGGTCTTCCCAAAAATAGTGCGAAATGCTAGACGCGAGTCATACGAAAATGCTTTTATAAATAATTCGCGCAATAATACGCGATTATTTACGAGGTGTGCTTCTTGTGTAGTCCTAAAACGTCATCCGCACATATAAACAATATTATAGACTTTTTAATAATAAATTATTTCGCGACAAACTGCTAAAAGTAACTCACGTCATCTTCTCATATTTTTTAAATAGAAAGATTACATAAACAATAATCTCAAATAAAAACCCTTAAATAATTCCTTACTAATCAAATATTAGGGTCATGCAATATATATCTTTAAAAATTTTCTTTTACTTTAACATTTCTAAATTTATTATAACTTCACGCGAAACTTTGAGAAGAGAAATTGTAACGTGCGCTATATATTTCTGAAAGATATAATTTCGTTATATCGATCGGAACTACTCGAAACTTTTTAAAAAGTTCTAATTTCTAAAATAAGATTTCTATTGCGTCGCGAGTAACGCAATAATTTTTTTCGATAGAGGCTAGTCAAAATGATTTTACGAGACATGATTATCCTAATTGATGGAGTGTATACGTATTTAAGACAATGGGAAAAATAAATTCGACGACTGTCAAGAATATCGATTTATATGGAAAAAATTATGTGAACATTTTTACATCTCTTTTTTGAGACTAAATTTAACTTTAATTTGAAATTTTGTAAGTTTCAATCACGTTTCATCATTATTGAAAAGCAGATTTTCTTAATACTACACCGAGAGAATATTATATGTACATAGTAAATTTTACATTCCATATACGTAGTAAAATTAATCGAACATAATTTTATATCTTACAGTAATATTTAAATATTAATTATAATCAGAGAAAGTCCTATAAAATTCTTCCAATACCATATTGTTCCACAATTTCAGAGTAAATTCAGAGAAAAAATTCTCTCCTTATATATAAGTCCCTCCTTTTTCTCTGGCTTTCTTAATTTTCTGACGACGTCCCGAAGTGGGCAAGAACGATGATCTATTTCGAAGGAAGCGAAGGGAAAAAAGAGGGAGGAAAAGAGCGAGAAGCCGCAGAATCTAAGAGAAAACTCAATTACGCCCTCGGCCTTATTGAGGGCGACACGATACTTTCCCGTCATCCGTACATACTTTGACGTACATACTTCCGTCGCCTTGTTTACCCATGATAGGTTCGCTCCGATAACCGATCCCTATATATACCTGTGTGTCTTGATGATGGTGTCGCTCAGTCTTATTTCACCCTCTTAGAGATAATTCGTAAGATCGCCATTTTGACATCGGACATCCGGGGAAAAATTTTTTTATATATATTTATATATAAACAATTGTATAATTATACATATAATCGTAAAATTATATGTGACATTTTTATACATAATTATATAAATTTATATATAAATTATAAGGGTTCAAATTATATATAAAACATATATATTTAAATACTTATTAATTATATATATATATATATATTATATATATAAAAACTTTTATTTATTTATGCATAATTTTGTGATGGTGTATATAATTTTATATATTTCTATATAATTTTATATTGTTATACATAAAAAATTTTTTCCCGGGCAGAAAATAAAGTCGCAAGATGAAAATTTTTGCCAAGGAGGAATCAAGGTACTTAATAATACGCTTTAATCATATTGGAAAATATTGAAACTTTTTTTTTAGTTTTTTCAGCTTTCTATAGGACTTTCTTTCAAGGATGTCGCATTTGCAAGATATGTAACATGTTGTATCTCGCAAACATGTTCATGCATACAAATAAGATGTCGCGTATTGCTTTGTTTCGCGTGGCTTAAGGACTTTTCTTTATAAGAAAAGAAAATTAAAAGTGCCTAAGAAAAGTTTTCTGAACCATAATATGTGAATATGAATAACGAAGGGAAGGCTAGGGGGATGAATGTAAATTATACAATTGTTTTTAATCGAAAACATTCAATTCAATCACATATCTATATTATTCT